TTTTTTTTTTTTTTTTTTTTTTTTTTTTTTTTTTTTTTTTGGATCCAGCAGTTGCTAACCTACCCTCCTCTACCATATATGAGGTCATAATCCTCTCCTTCCCCTAACTTACTATCTTCTCTGCTGATAAATACGCCCTATCCTATCCCCTCACCCGACTGTATCCCCTCCTCTGCCCCCCTTGTGGACCAACATCTGTGTTGTCCTCTATGGATCTCTCCTCCCTCTGTCCTTTCTCCCCTAATGTTGTCTTCCGAACCCGTATCCTATATTCCTTGAACCCTACAACCCCCTTCACTTATCCTTCCTTGCCTTGCCTCACTTTAATTCTTATGGTAGCCTAAGTTCCTGTGTCAAAAGCTGATCATCTATAGTCTCCTCCTGGCGCTCCTCTTTGAACCAATGGAAGATAAGTCTGTCTCCTTCCACGGTCCACTCCGGCTTTTCATCTTCCACATCATTCACTTCTTCTCCCCGTCCTCCGCAAGATGGGCGTCATCCTCTTTTCTTTTTCCTTTTTTTTTTTCAAAACTGTCTTTGTACTATATCCAGTGTCCCTTAGAAGATGATGCCTCTCTCCATTGTGGCTGAGAGAACCCGAGAAGGTGGCATTGCTTGCTTCCCTTTGGAAAGGATGCACCTTCTCTCTGTCACTGTCTGAATGCCTTTTTCAAGTCTCTTCATGGCATTTCATGCCCTCAAGCTCCCTCTCTTTGCTAGCTTCGGTCTTCCTGCCTGTCCTTCTCAGTCCCCTCGTGGCTGTCTGATCTTCAATGAACTCTTACAACAGACCTTACTGTGTTCACTGCTGCTGGGATTTCTTTTACCATCTTGTCTCCTTGTCTCTTTATTTTTCCCTATGATCAGCAGGCCGAGCAGTCTCCTTGCCAACTTCATACCTTCTTTCTAGCTCTTGTGTATCCCGCGGGGTCTGATTTTTTTTTGGGTTGCCTCTTCGAATTCCTTATATGGTATACTGTGCCTCTTATGCTCCTCCTATCACGTCCTCTGTCTGTTCCAGAAGGTCCTCTAAGTCTGTGCCTCTTTCTGGCTGTTGGCTGCTTTTCGTCCAGTACCATCCCATCTTCTAGCCTGACCCCGTCTCCATCTATCCTGCCTAACCTACCGTTTCCTAACTTCGAGTTTGTAAATTGTTTGATGATATCTACTGATTTGTCGAGTGTCTCCCTAATGTGTTCCGTGGTTGTTTGCCATAGGGCATGTGTTTCTGTTTCTACAGCCTACTTCATTAGTAGTAGGGGATTCTCTGATGGGTGGGTATGGTCTTCAAGGTGGCAGCACATCTTCTTTTCCACATAGCCCACAACGTTGCTGCTTGACTGTGAGATTATGACTCGTGCGTTGCGTGGTATATATCCTGTTTGACGAGAGAGAAAGAGTATTGTCGTTATCCAGGGAGTGCACTGTCAACACAAGAACATCCCTCATTTTGTGATCGAGTAATTGGTCCTCGCTCCACTGCTCACGAAATGCCCAAAATGAGAATGAAGGGAGATGTCAACACAGCCATTGTTTTTGTCTTTTGCGAGGATTCTTACCCACTTTCTAAAGTTTGTGCCTACTCTCATTTTCTCCATACACATTTCGAGGTCCCAATTGACCTGATCGGATGGCTTCTCGAAATCGAAGAATAGGATAGCTATTGCGACTTTCTTTTCTGACTGATAATTCTGGTAGACTCGCAAAGAGTAATCACATTGTGTAGTATGAATCGACCAGGGATAAAGCCGGTCTGATCTAGATGGAAGCAGTTTCCTGTAATTCGGTTGATTTTGGTAGCGAGGAGCTTGGCGAGGATCTTGTAAGCCATATTTAGAAGGGAGATGGTTCTGTAGTTCCTTATGTCATTCTTACTTCCTTTTTCTTGTAGAAAAGTGTTACTACCCCTGTGCTCAGGTCGGGACCTATGGACTCTTGTTCTCGGGCCCTGTTTAGGAATCTGAGGTGAAGAGGGCTGAGGGTGGGCCAGCTTGCTTCCTTGAATCCCTTTGCAAGCCTATCTCTGCCTGGCACTTTATTGGCCTTTAGGTCCTTAGAGCATCATGTAGCTCTTTACGTGAGATGGGTGAGTCCAAATTGTCCGCAAGTTCATGAGACAGGGAACGATCAAGGTGAGCTAAGAATTTGTCTCTGACTCTTAAAATTTTGTTGTTCCTTTTGATCGGGATTTTACTCGTGTGGAGGTCCTTGTAGAATTTGGTTGCTATGTTGATTAGTTTTGTGGTATTCGTCTAGCAAGGTTTCTATTTTGGATTTGGAAGAGGTCCTTGTCAAGGTCCTTGAGTTCAATTTGATTTTTTGGAAGAAATATTTGGACTTCTCATTAGTTCCCAATCCTTTCATCTAACACTTAGATCTAGGCCTTTAAGTTGAGTTTAGTCCACTCTGCTAGTTCTTCTTTGGATTTTGAGAACAGCTCGACAAAGAATTATGAGTTAGTGCTGTGTTGTATTGCGTTTTTGTAACTCTTTTAACACTTCTTCCCTTTCTTTCCTTTTTTTTTTTCGCTGCTAGCTTCCTCGAAGTCGGTGCTATTTTCAAGCTTATCTCCTTCATGATCTTTGGGAATTCAACGTAGATGTCTTCATTGACGTACTGTTGTGTGGTTTGTGACAGTATCTCGGTTCATTCGTCTAGGAATTCTTGGTTGGTTAGTAGGGCATTATTGAAGCGGTAGAAGCTTTTGCCTAGGTAGCCGGATCTTGAGAATCTAAGGGCTAGTGTAATAGGTTTGTGATCTAGGCCGCTATGGTACGGCGAGCTTCCTATCCTGCATTCTTCTAGGGCACTTGGTAGGGACTCTGATGTGAGGAAGAAGTCTATTCTTGAGAATGAGTTTTTGCCTAAGGTGGTTTTTCTCACGCATGAGAATCTCTTGTCGTGGGGATATACTAGGCAGAAAGGATCTATTAGCATTTTCCTAGTGATAAAATTTGTTAGTTCAGGACTGTTGGAATGTTGTGATGGGTTGACGGAGTTTGAGGTTCTGTCTAGGGAGAGGTCCTGGCCTGAATTTCAATCTCCAATGAGGATCATATGTTGGTGAGACGGGATTAGCTGTTCAATTGCGTAGAGGAAGGGAGTCTTTTCTTGCTGTGCGATTGGGCCGTAGATTTTGAAGACAGCTAGTTTTTCCTCCTTATAATTGATGTCTGATCTAACCCATCTGCCAGTGTTGTCGTCCTGCAAATTGATTTGTTCTTTCATCAAGTTGCTTGCTGTTGATTTGTCATGGAGAAGGATAGCTGTGTTGGCTGAGCCATTGGATGAGGCATGAGACAAAAATGCAGCCTTGACAAATCTCAGTTTTCTTATGAGTGCTATTCGTAGTTTTTCGTGTTCTTCGCTACTTGTAAGATGAGTTTCTTGTAGACATGTTATGTCTGGGGCATTGTGACCGAACCAGCCCATGCATTCTGTCAGGTTTCTCCATTTGACTGGGTTATCCAGAACAGATCCTAGGCCGTTCACATTCCATGAGTAGAGAGTAATTTCTGGTTGCTGTCTGATTTCGCTTAGGATATCTTCTTCTGTGGTGGGTTTGAATCTCTTCGCGTTGGTTGGGGGCCCTGAGTAAAGGGAGGGAGTCCATCTAGGAGGTCCTCTTTCACCTTGATTTGGGGGCAGTTATCAATTTAGGAGGCTTTCACCTGTACAATCCCTCTCACATGCCACGTCAACAGTTTCCTTTGCCACATGGCACAACTGTGTCTTGCCGCTTGTCAATTTCCTCCAGCGGCATCATTCATTCACCTTCTCATGATGCCGCACTTCTGTCTCCACAGCGGACCTCTACTCCACCTCCCCAATCAGTCATCACCAAATAGCAGCATGGAGAGAGCAAAGGATACTGCTCTGATACCATATTGCAATGAACCCAATCTCGTTGGAAAGCCGATTAGCAAATGTCACATGAGGTCTCCGACGATGATTGCAAGTCCATATCTTGACTGGATGCATATTTCAGAAGTAGCGAACCATCATAGAAGAGCAAGACAGAAATAGATAGGGGAGAGAAGAGACAGAAAAGAGGAGAAAAGAGTTACATTAATAATCAGTAATACCGCTCCCCAGCTTGCACTTCTTCTATGGACATCTCCCACCGCCACCACCTCATCAATGCATGCTCTTCCTCTGACGATCACTGACATAGTCACTGTGCAGATTCCATCAGAGCATCCATCCTCTGTCCACAGTCCAAGTCCAGCTATGGAGGATGGCACAATCCTTCCTCAACTTCGTGGAGACCATCAGCAGCTCAATCACATTGCCGACAGGTAAGTCCAGGTAAGCTTCCCCTTGAACCTCCCATTGTCATAGACCAGATCCTTCTCCTTCTCATCCAACTCTCCAGCTACAGCTATGGCAGCTATGGCCGCTCCAATATCTCCTCCTACAAGACTGGCGCCACTCCTCACATCAGCCTCGCATGCAGAAACTTGGCCGCAAGCCACAGCAAGGCAGAATGAGCTTCCCACTGGACCATGTTGACAGCTAAGATTTTCCTGAAGTCTAGAGGCCTGGATGCAATGCTGTCCCAGATGTATCGTGTTCCTGTTGGAACGGGAATCTTCTGGAAACCTGCAGACAACCTTTGATTTGCATCTGATCCTACGGCCATGGTTGACTTAATGGGAGACTTTGACTTTGGGCCTGCATTTCCCGTGCTGGGTCTGATTCTTGATTTTCCAAGAGTCAACTGCCTGGCGTGGGGTTACTGGACGCTGGTTTTGACTCAGGGCCTAGTACCCCTTGACCCTAGGGGCTTTCTTAGACCTCTAAAGGACTCAGGACACGACTTTTGACCCCTCTTTCCAGCCTTTGATCGAAAGTTACGACCCTGCCCTTGAATTGTGCGGATTTGAAGTTTGAACTGAGTTTATTGCAATTGGTTTCCCTTCCTATGCAGTCTCTGTACTGATTCTTCACCTGGAGCTGAAGCTTTTAATGACTTTACCTGTGTTTACTACAGCGGAAATTGTACAAAAGGAGGATTCATGTCAGCAGATGGAGAACACATTGCGAGCACAGCTGGCAACACAAGCCAACAAGTTTGCCGACTCTGAGCGATTCCATGCAGAGGCAGGTTTAAAGCTTCTGGAAAGATCCTTGTGAAGGTTTCCTAACAGCTTTTCTCCCCTTCAGTGTAGCGCTGCATTCCTGGAAGGACAATATTTTGTCTTCCAATTTGCCCATGACTATCTCCATAAATCTTACAAATATATCCTCATTTAATCACAAATTCACAATAATCATCAGTGGATCTCCCTCCTCCTCCTCCTCCTCCTCATCATCATCATCAGCATCATCATCATCATCATCATCATCATCATCATCATCATTGCTGTTATTGTTGTTATCCTCTCTTCATCCTCCTCCTCATCCTATCTCATCCTCATCATCCTCACCAGTGTCCTTCTCCTTCCCCTCTTGCTTCACCTGGCCTCCTTTTTCTTCTCTCCCCTGTTCTCTTCCCCCCTCTTCCCCAGCCCCCCTACTCCCTCCATATCCTCCCCCTCTGCATTCCGTCCTTTCCCCTGACTTCCTCCTCCCCCACTTCCTACCCCCTGCCTTCCTCCACCTCCCTCCTCTCCTCCGTCCTCTCTCCTCCTTGCCTCCCCTGCTCCTCCTACCCCTCCTGCCACTACTCTTCCCCCTCCCCTCCTCCTCCTCTTCCCTCTCCTTCTCCTCCTCCTCCTTCCTGCACCCTTCCTTTCCCCTACTCCCCTCTCTGCCTCCCCCTCCCCCATTCTCCCCTTCCCTCACTCCCCCTTCTCCTCCTCCCTCTTATCGTATATGTCCTCTCCTTCTTCCTCTTGTCTCCTTTTCCTCTTTGTTCTCTCCATCCTACTCTGTCTCCTTTACCTCCTACTCCTTCTGCCTTCCTTTCTCCTACTCCCCTCTCTGCCTCCCCCTCCCCCATTCTCCCCTTCCCTCCCTCCCCCTTCTCCTCCTCTCTCTCCTTCTATTCCGCATCCCCCCCTTCCTACCTCCCCTTCCCCCTCCTACCCCTCCTCCTCTCACCCTCGCTTTCCCTTCTTCCTCTTTTCCTCTTCCGCCTTGACATTCCTCCTCCCCTTCCCCATCCCCATTCTCCTCCTCTCCCATCCTCCTCCCTCCTCCC